CCTCTGGGGTGGGATGCTGGTTTATGAAAGGAAACAACATGTTTGCTTCCTGCCACTTGTCCCCTCAAACACACATATCCCCCAAAAGGCAGGGCTGAGGTATCTCCTTACCATTCATCACTCCTGCTGCTGTGGAGGCTGAACTTCTCCATGGGGTTGATGACAAACAGCTTGTCTTTCTCTGTCACCTCTGGGACCGGGATGTTGTAAAGAGGATGCTCAAAGAGCGCTGCCAGCTTTGATCCCTGGATCTGCCCTGTGTTCCCCTCTCTGGTCTGGTGCTGGACCCCCGGATCTCCAGCCCTTGCTTGCAGCCTCACTCCCTGCGGCTGGGAGCTTTTCTCCAAGGAGCCGTTGCTGCTGCTGAAATCCTGAAGGATTCGCAGGCTCAGCTTTCTGGGGCCAGCCAGCATGGGGCTGCCTGATGGGACACCCGAGGCTTTTGCATCGCAGACGCGGGGCCTGCAGGCTGTGGGGAGAGCCAAATCCATCGCCACGTGCACCAAGAGGGCCAAGAGCAGGAGAAAGAGGAGGCTGACTTTAAATTTCCTTTGAAAAAGTCTTTGCAGCCAGCACCGCATCCTTCCTCACCCAACACTCTCAGCAAAGGGTGGGCACCCACCTGGGGCTAATAAAGAGTTAGTGCAGCCACTGCCTCTGCAAAAATAGGAGTGAGGTGTCCTGGATTTAGAGCATCACAGCTAAAGAGCAACCGGTGCAAGGGCAGATTCGCAGGAAAGATCTGTCACTGCAGCACCTCACGGGGTGACACTGCCAGGCTGGCAGCAGGATGGGTCTGGAGTTTGCAGCAGGCTTTATCATCACTGATAAGGGGTGAGTTGGCACCACCAAGGTTAGCATGAACAGGGCAAGTTCCAAATCAATAGCCACAAGGTTGGCTCAGGGACAGTAATGACGGCAGATAACCCCCACACCACTCTGTCCCTCTGTGCTATCACTTGCATGGGGCTGCAGAACATTTATGCAGGGTGTTAAAGTGGTTCTGTGCCTCGGCAGCACCCACCCTGCCCAGCACTACACAGCCCTATTCCCCACGTCCATCATACCTGCACACTTGTAATCCAGGAAGGTTTTTGTCCTGATGCTCAGCCAGAGCAATTTTATCACCTTCCCCCACCCATTCAAAATCACTAGTACTCAACCACCCTTTCTAAACCCACCCAAGTTGGGTAAAGCAAAGGGGATGTGAGTATCAACATCACTGGGAGGGGAAAATCTGGGCTGCCAGTATAAGGGAGGGCTGCCAGGCAGGTGAGGTTCACGGGCAGAGATGCTCCCAGAGCCTCTGAAACAGGCAGGGGAAGCAGGCCGGCGGGAGTGGGGATGCTGCCTGCTGCCTCAGGCATCAGCATGTTGGGCAGTGGGACCCATTGAGCCCTGGGGAGGACTGGCAGCTTGTGGAAGGGAAGGGCAGCCCATTTTTACAAGAAATTCACTTTTCCAGTGACACCCAGGGACACAGAGATGTGTCGTGTGGGCAGAAATGGTTGGTGACTTGTAGGGAGGGAACTTTGGATTTGCTAAAGGACAGAGAAACACAGAACTACCCACAAAAAGCCTGGGGCCTTGGGTACAGAGTCCGAAGCACTGTTTTTCACCTTTGCGATTTCCCAAAGGATGCAGAGCACATGTGAAATCCCATACATCACACGGTCCTTTCTCACTGTGTGATATACCAGCAGTCAGCTTGGACATCCTCGCTCCAAGCCAGGAAGGGTAAGATGAGTGGTGGGCAGGAGGGGGTACACTGGAGACCCCCTCCTCTGCTGCCATCCCTGCATACCCTCTCGCTCGTGCTGCCCTCTCTCCACAGCCCTGTGCCAGCTCCGTCCATGGCGGGCTCGGCTCCCGCCCAGGCAATGCGGTGAGAACGCAGTGTTCCCGGTGTTCTCCGCTTGTGACAGTTGCCTGGAAACCGCCTCAGGCTGACACCATCAGCTGCCCCAGATTCAGCCAGTCCCGCGTTCCCTTCCCCACGCCTTGCACTAACAAGATGGCCGATGGGAGCCGGGGTGAATGGCGAGGAGGAGGAGGAGGAAAGCTTTCCAGCCTGGCTGGTGAGCTCAAAGCCCTGCAGAAGGAGCTGGGTGGAGGGGAGCAGATGGCTTCCCCGGGGACGGGAACACGGCGTCTCACTCTGGGAGGTTTGCTGGATCCAGTCCGGACATACGGCTTGGAAAGAAGGCACCTAGGAGGGGCTTGTAGCTGGAGCACAGGATCGTTAGGTCATTGCTTAGCAAAAAAACCCCATCAACAAAAACCATGTGCTAACCGCTTACAACAAAGGAGCTGAGCTTGGCTTCCAGAGCAGGGCCACAGATTTCTTTATTCCAGAGCCAGCCTTGGGAGACCAAGGGGAGAGGGACACCACCCAAGGGGGATAGAAACCTCCCTCCCATACCCTAGAGCCAGATCGGGACAGGGGCCCTATGGGCTGAAGCCACCCTACTGACCAGAAGTCCCATCCCCTGGCTAGGGGAGCTTGCATTGGAAAGTGGAGGCAGGGGATATTAGACAGGGCACTTGCCACCACTAGCACTTTAATGCTGGCATTAAATATTAACCAAAAGATTTTTCAGCGAGTCAGACACAAGCCCGAAGCAACTGGGAAGAGCTGGAGAGCTTCAAAGCCTGACAGCATGTTGATGTACCTCGTTGCCATGACATCATCACAGAGCAGCAGTTTTGTTCGCACCTCTTTCTTCCCATCTCCCCCCGCCAGCTCTTCCTCCATCTTCCCAGCGCCTTCCCCCCTTCCCAGCAGGTTCAAGTCACCCTTGGGGCAGAGGAGGAGCTGTACATCCGAGGACACTTCCATTGCTGGCACCAAGTCAGGGCTCTGCAGCAGCTGATAATGATGTTGCCCATCTCCCCTCAGCAGGGAGGGATGAAGTCATGAAGCACAGCCCTCTGAGCTGCTATTGGAGCTTTCCGGGACAGGCGGATAGAAAGGGTCATTTTGGCTTGCACTGATGCATCACCCTGCGTTTTTCATCTCCTTTTCTACGTCTGACTCAGCCTGATGCTTTGATGGGTAATGGCAGCAATATGCAGGGGGCAAGAAATGAGAGCGAGAGAACACACTATCAAGTCACCTGTTGCCAACTTCCCCAGCTTTCTGCTGAAAATTCATAAGGTAAAATCCTTCAACAAGGGACTGCAGTTTTATAGTCAGAAGCAGACAGGCCCTAGAATTTCCAAAGCATCAGCCACAGAGGGGTCTCTTGTGGGAAAACACAGGAAAATGGACCATCTCCAATCCATGAACTATACTCCCCCTGAAAATTACAGGTATGCTCAAAAATGGCTAGTTTCACAGCAAAAGGAGGGCAAAAGTCTTTCTTCTAACACACAAGGGCCAGCACAGCATGGCTCAACTTGCAATAGGCAGGAAAATTGGTCTGTCTTATTGCCTCAGAGAAGGAGCCTCACGCACAGCTGAATTTTAGGAAGCTGAGGTTTATGCTTTCATGTACGGCAATAATGACAGGCATGCAAACCAGCTAAGATGGTTTTGCTTCTTCATGGCAACTTGTGGGAAAGCTGTTACCCTTGGAAACAAAAATAGCTTGCCGCTCTCCTGTGAGCCACCTTGCACTTACCTTGGGGGAGTTACAGTGTGGGAACTGACGTGCTGCAAATTCACACCTAGCTCACCTCAATCTGTTTGCAGGCTCTGGCTTTGAGAAGGCTGGGGAGCAGTCAACATTCACTTCTGGCCAGTGCAGGTCATGGAGACATTAGCTTTGGTCAGCTGGTGACTAAAGAGATAATAAACTGGCAGTGAGGCCAAAAGATTGTGTGCTGAGGTAAGCAGCTCCCTGTGATCACCTGCAGGTCACCGCAACCCTGCAGAGATGCCCATGACCAGCATGTCTGCGCATATGCACACAGCAGTTAATTATTCATTAGTGTGAAAGAGGCCCAATTAAAGCAACTATGGTATGGCTGAGGGTATCATCATGCTCCAATATAGGACATTCCAAAGATACTGGCTTTACCTTTTCCTCTGAACATACAGGAGGTAAAAAGTTGTGGAAGAGGAAATCATCTTTTCCACCTCCCAGCTGCAGAAAGTGCCAGTCAGTAGTGCTATCTTCCTGTAAAGGCAGCCAGCTGAAGTGAGACAGAGTAACCACACCAAGAGACAGCTCAGAGGATTTGGACTCTTCTACACTGCACAGCGATCCTGACACTGTGGCCCACTGCATCAGGCAGGCATCATGGTACCAACTACTTTATGATACCAGCTATGTGTCCCCTCCTGCCTTGTAATTCCCTTCCACCTGATCAATAAGGAATTAGGTGAGAGGACAACGGGTGCAGCCAGCACAGATGGTCCAAAATTGAAATAATTTTAGTTGTCTTCATACTACTCTAATTCCTGGCTTATAGAAGAGCTCCTGACATGATGAAATGGGAGGAAGGACATCTCTAGCATCACACTGAGGTCCAGAGAAGGAACAAAAGGAATTGTAAGACCCTCCACCAGTTTGATCCACCCCAGACACTAATTCAGAAAGGTCCTTCAAAACTGAACTATGGACTATAGGCATACAGCACAAGGTGCCAGTGGTACTGCTGGCAACATCCCGAGAGGAAACTGGAAAAATCAAGGAAGCCACAAATATGAGACCCCAAAGGTCAGAGCAGAGGCATGCTGGCTGGGCAGAGGACACACCTACACCCCCTTGCTGCTACTGCTTAGACAGCTGTGTGGACTGAGGACTTCGGCCAACAACAGCACTGTGGGCCTGGGAACCTTCCTCAGTATTGTGGCTTGCACTGATGAAAGGAATTGAACAGGGAGGGTGAGAGCACATCTGGTACCTGTAAGTCACCCAAGAAGCATGCAGGATGGAGACTTGTCACTGTCCTCCACCTGAGCTACACCACTGCTTGCTTACTTCCATGTTGTCTGAACTACTTCTTCTTACCCTCCACTTTGAAATTTTCATTTTAGAACACACAAAGAAAGGGACATTTTGCTAATTTTTAATTGTAAAAACACAGTTCCCTAGTTTTATATAAATAAGCCATATATGTAACATACAATTATGTTCATTCCATCCTCCAACATTGTCAGCTTTAAAAAAATGAGACAGGCTAAAAGAATGCAAGTCCAAAAAGACATTAGGCTGCTGATGACCAAGTGATATCTCACATGGAGCCTCCTTCCTCTACCAGCCTCCAAACAAGATGCTGAAAGTACACAGCACTTGCAACACCCCCAAGAACTGACAGGGAAGCATTTGAGCCTTATGAAGAGCTCTCACCCACTCCCCAGGCATCGTCAGCCGCCTGTGTTTTCATGCTATCTCAGTGTGCGGTGGGTGAGAAAGGAGGGGGCAGTTTGCATAGCAACTTCCTACACCCAGGCAGCTCAGCTGTTGTACCCTCCCAAAACAAGCAGGGAAGGGCAAGCCGAGTCTGCTTTCCTGGGGCCAACACCTCCACAGGCAGCCCGAAGGGAGACCCTTGGCACTGCCAGTTCTGTACTGACATCTCAGAAGAGGGAGGAAGAAGGTATTCTCAGCATTCAGAGAGAGGAGAGACAGGTGCTGGTCAGAGCCATACCACATGGTAGTGGGGAATGCAGAGAAGAGAGGACATGATATGGCACAAGTGGGAGGGAAAAAAAAAAACAACAACCAAACCATAGGGCTAAATAGCACCTTTCCTCTTTCGCTTCCTCCTCCTAGCATTGCTGTAGCGTCTGCAGTGTCGTGCGGTTACCTGTTCCCCACCTCCTTCCTGCTTTGGCTCAAGCACCAAAGAAAGAGCCACAGACAGATAAAAAAATCCCATGAGCAAGGACAAGACAGCTTAGCAAGTTTATACGCACAGACACACCAACTATAGGTATCCCACAGAACTGTTACATCAGTATGAAAAAAAATATTGACGTTTAACTATTAAAAATAAAGCCCCACCTCCAGACTGTACAAAATCTGTCAAGAGAAGGAAGAAATCTCTTGTATGCACCAAGTCTAGAACCTGGCCAGAGGTCAGGAGCACTTCCAGACACACACGGCCAGGCTGCCACCAAAGAACATGTACAGCAGATTCTTCACCTCGTGAGTGATCTCAAAGCCAAAACCTTCCCCAATCACCACATGCCAGGAGGACCCAAATTTCTTGTCCATCATCTCTTTGATCATCTTGGCAGCACTCTGGAGAATGTTAAGGAGGAGAGTATAGGGTGAGACAGAGAAAGCAGGGACTTTTTATGTAAATATCCCCCTAATCTCTTCTCCCTTTAATAGACTACTCAAGCCATGGGCAACAGGTATAGCAGCTGCACTGCAGGAACTGGGAGCTCCCCAGAGCCATGCCCAGAAGTAAAACAGGTCTCTCTTTCCAGCAGCCTCCAACACAGCATCCAGGGGAAATTAAAGAACTCCATCTAGCAATCACTTCTCTCATTCACATCATCTGAAGCAAGAGTTCTGGTTCAGATGCTGACGGAGTTATGCTGGGTGCAGTGAGCATAAGAGGAGATCCAGGTCACTAAGCTGCGACTATTTTTACAGGAGTCAATTTTTTTCTCCAGCTAATTACCAAAACACTGAAACTAGGATGACTTTTAAAAGTCTTGCTTCTCCGAGATCACACCCTGCTTGATCTGAAAAACCAGGAAGATTTTGTACTAAATGCAGTGTCTCAGGAGATAGGACAGAAGGAATCTCTGGCTTCATAGCTCTGCCTTGCTCCAACACAAACCCGCTCCAGCAACAACCATTCTGCCCTGTCCACAGAGCAACATGTGTTTTCCTTTATTGTTGGCTCTCAGAGTTAAGGTCAACCTTTCCAAAGACCATAACTTCTGCATCACCCCTCATTTACATGGTCTCAGCAATTTCATTCAGGAAGCTGAAAACCAAGAGGGAAAACTTAACAGACTGCACCTAAAGGTTCAAAGGCTTTAATGTACTCATCCCCAAAACAAGAGTCTTCACACGGTTCTGAGCCAAGCCCTCTGGACACAGGGCATTTTACAATCAGAGTGGAAGCATGTCATAGGCATGACAGGATCAGGAAGGAGGTAAGGTTTGGGAGGCAGCATTGCTGCTAATCTCTGCTTTCTGCAGGAAAGCAAAGTGCTATTACAGATCCTGCTGACAAAGGGAACCGAACCTGAGATCTAGCCAGGCTCTTTGCCACCTTCTACCCTTTCTCAGTGCAGAAAGAGAGTAATAGGATGTCAGGATCTGACTCCACTCTGCCCTGCACCCTAAGCCCTGCTCCTGCCGGTTCCCTGGGCCACAGCAGCTGAAAGCTGGCCATTTTGGGATTTGGCTAGTACCTCGTTGTTAGTGGCATATTTCTCACACGCTGTGACACACAGCTCCATAGCCTCTACACGCATCTCCTCCGGCATGTCCGTGTGCTGGAAAAAAGAAAACAAACAAAAGGAACTAAGCAGAAAAGTAAGCTAGACACAAGACAACAGTAAGTAGCCCTTACTTTTACATAGGCTATAGCAGTGGCCTAGACTGCTGGCCATGGGCAAAAGGCAGCTAGTCCCCATGACTGTTAATGTTTGTTTCAAGGTGGGGCGCATCAGCAGCAACATGGGCTTGTCCATACACCAAGCATTTCCATTGTTTCAAAGAACAGTAAATATGAAAATGGGTCACTGCAATACAAGTGATCCATTTGTTCCTTTGTCCCAACCGAGGAAGAATTCTTCTCCAAGATTAAGACTAGCACTAAGTAAGCACAGCTTAAAGGAGGAGAGAAACACATTTGTCAGTTTTTCTGTGTTAAGATGAAGGGAAAGCATGTTAATACTGCTCCAGCCAGAGTTCTTAATTATTTCTATAGGCATAACAAAGAAGTCTAAATTACATAGTCTTTTCTTTCTCTTCTGCTATCTGGCTGGCTAGTAAGATCTTACTTCAGCTTCTCTAGGGAAAAAAGCAAGCTGCATCCAGAACACAGGAGAGGGCTCCAATGGCAGCATGTTCAATCTATTAGATGGATCACAGAGGGAGGGAGGGGAAACAAGGTGCTAATGTTCCTGACAGAGGTCAAGGAGAGGGAGAAAGCAGCAGCGATGACTGCAATCCTTGCACAGGACCATCAGTACACATGGTCTCACAGAAACTACTCAGGGAGAGAAATTCTAGCTTGGAAGGTTGGTAAGAATGAAGGTAGAACTTCATATCTGTCACACTGATAAATTCATAATCTATCCTTGTTCTTACCCTAATCAGTGGAAAGCTGTGAAGTCTTTTATAATCAGCCTCCTCCTTTTTCCCCTCCCCGGTGTCTGCCATGGTCCTTCCACAGTGACCCCAGGAAGGGGCACAGGGGCTGCCTGGAGATCAGCAAGGTGCTACAGGGCAGACAGCCGAGAGGAACACAGCTCCGTGAACACGGGCAGAGCAGCTTCAGCAGGAGGGGAAACTTCTCAGCCCAGAGGACACTGTTTAAACAAAAACCCACAGGAAATTGAAAGAAAGCTTCGAATTAAAATAGAAGGCAAATAAAACTATTACAAAAGTATATTGCCCCATCTCAGTTACTTACTGTTTCTCAGTACCACCTTCACACACCACGCACTTAATCTTACAGACCATTAACACAAACAGATTTTAAAAATGTATCATTTTCCATAAATGAGGCTTCAAGAGCACAGCACTTTCCCAGAAGCACCAATCAAGCTTGTGGGAAGAACCAAGTCAGGGCACAGCTTCTGACAAGAGAGGGGAGAAAAATACATCAGCCATTATGTCTATTGATTAATTCCAAAAGCATCTTCCCAGGACACTATTATCTGTGATGGTTTCAAACTGCACATGACAAGCAAAGAGTTAAGAGCATTTTAGGAACGGGATCAGCATACATGCGTGGACAAAAATGTTTAACAGGAACATCTTGGTCTGCTTTGTGCACTTGCTCCTCATATCCCTGAGCATTTGTCAGCTGGGGAGGACCATATGGGAAAATGCTGGACCATGCCTTTAGGCCTAATTACCAACCAGCCTCTACTTGGGCAACAGAGGCACAGCACTGTCTGACTGGCAGATTCAACCATTTCACCCTCTGGTTCTCTCATCCAGAACAAAGCACCTTCCTCTCCTACCCAGAGGAAGCAAGGGTGATTCCATATTATAGGAAAAACAAAACAAACACGGTGTCAGACAACACCACACTGATCAAGCATTTATGCCAAGCGTGTAGAGCTGCTGGCTAAAGCACCAACTCTGACAAACCACCATTTCTCACACGAGGGTCCACTGGATCTGAAAGAGTCCCCACCACAAGCTCCAGAGGACAGAACAGCCACCTGGCTGGGACCAGCCTCCCGCAGCACAGCAAACCCCGGGAGTCACTTCAAGGCCCAGCTTCTCCCCGGGATGCGCCCAGGGCCACAGACCGAAGCAGGCCGCCGGGAGCTCTCCCAGGGGCCGGCGGCCGTTTCCCCGGGGAGAAGCTGCCGACGGGTGGTTGCATCGGTTAAAAATACAGGGCAGGGAGGAGGCCTGGGGCAGTCCGCCAGCCGTGGGCCCGAAAAGGCACGCCACAGCCCCGATGGCGGCCAAAGGTGGAGGACAGGGAGCGGAGCCACTGAGCACCTAGCGGGGGGAAGAAGGAGGTGAGGGGCACGGCAAGAACAAGCTCCCCCGCTCCCTCTCCCCGCACCGCCGCGGCACCACCAAGGGTAGTGGGGCTGAGAGGAGCGGCGGAACACAGTCCGAGCAGGCCGCACGCTCGCCTCCCTCAGCCCCACAGGAGAGAGATAAGGGCTCGGCAAGCGGCTCTAAACAGAGGGGAACAGAGGGG